CTTAACAGGTTAATAAACACAAATTAAAACACAGGTGGGTCTGCTTAGTTTCGAGAAGTGAAGGGATTTCGCCAGCATTTATATATTCATATAACTAGTTACATATAAGCCTAAATAAAACCATCTCCAGTAAGCTTTGAGATGGCATTCACCATCTTTGTAGAAATATGAGCATCACTAATGAATTACCAATTATACTAATGAATTACCAATTACAAATAGTGATAGCACTTACTGAACTGAAATTCCTATCAAAATTTAATAAAAAAGGGAACCAGCAGTTAGCGTAATGGCTATGTCGCTGGACTCCCACGTAGTCGACCGCGGTTCGCGTCTCGGACCCGGTGGCTTAAATCTCACGCCGGGCGCGTGTGCGTGCGTGCCCAAGATCCCGAGAGGAGAATGGAGGAGAAGGGATTGCGGCGTGACCATCCCCCCTGGGGGGTGATTTCTCGCTTTCTGTCTCTATGTCTCTCTCTGTCTGTCTGGCGAGTGCACGCGCCCTATAGCGAAAACCTCTCCAAAAAAAAAAAAAAAAATTTAATAAAAAAAATACTAATTTAACCACATGCCAGTCTTACTTAAATCAGGATTGTCTAACAAAAATATCCTGTCAGCCATTCATGATCTGAGTTCTGGTGTAGGAGATCAATTAAAATACGGTACACATAAAAAAGGTGAGACATTTCTATTTTGTCATAAATAAGGCAGTGGCCACCTATTCCTCATTAGTAGCTTTTAAAAGATAAGATATTCGCTCTGCATTTTCGGACTTTTTAATGCCAGTGAAGATCATCTTTGTCCCAGGGATGTACTTCTTGGGATTCTCCAAATCCTCCACCAGTGTATTCTCTCCCCAGGGGATGCCTTTGCTCTTGTTGGCATCTGTGTAAGAGAATCCAGTGGCCTGGCCTATCTTCCGCCCAGATAGACCATGGAGATTTGGGCCAGTCTTGTGCTTGCCTCCCTTTTCCACGGTGTGGCACTGGGCACACTTCTGAACAAAAATCTTCTTGCCTTTCTCAACATCACCCATTTTTAATTCTCTCTTTTGTCGCTTGGGAATACAGAGTAGCCGCTCCAAAGCCAGATGACCCGCTCTCTCTCGTATATTTGAATGTTTTTCTATCGATGACCTAATTGAACCCATTTGGAGCAATACTGAAAATATATAACACGTTAGCCATCTAATAACAACACAACACAAAAGATTTTCCCTAAGTACAGATACTCGGCCATCAGATTTTTAATTTATGGAAAATTTTAAAACTATTTTGAAAATAAAAAGTTCCCATGGTGATTCGAACTCCCTTATGACACCATGAGGTACATAGAGGGAAAAGTCTTAAATCATAAAATTCTAAAATAAATGAAGCTACAAGAATCTAAAATCCTAATAGCCTAATAGCCCTTCTGGATTTTCTGGAAGCATGCCCTGAGGATAACTGTAAATAAGCAGAAGAGGCTTGCTCCTTTTTTGCTGTCACAGTGTAGCTAATAAAATATGCTTAGTATTGTGATAATAATATGTCATTCCCATTCAAATTGTTCCTGTAAATTGTCCTACCTACTGCAAAGGCCGTGGGGTTTTCAGAACTTTTGTCCCTGGTTGGTGGATCCTAAATGACCCCTTTTGGCTTTCACTCCATACCAAGGCAAATTTTATACCTAGCAGTAGACGTATGTGATGGTTTGGGGAGCCTACTCCTTAAAATTGTTTCCTGATAAGATCTTAAAGAGCAAAGTCAACCACTTTTGTAGTTGCTGACATTTTATTGGCTTAAGCAATTCCTCTTTTTTTTTTTTTTTTTTTGAAGAGGTTTTTGCTATAGGGCGCGTGCACTCGCCAGACAGACAGAGAGAGACAGAGAGACAGAAAGCAAGAAATCACCCCCCAGGGGGGATGGTCACGCCACAATCCCCTCTCCTCCATTCTCCTCTCGGGATCTTGGGCACGCACGCACACGCGCCTGGTGTGAGTTTTAAGCCACCGGGTCCGGGACGCAAACCGTGGTCCACTACGTGGGAGTCCAGCAACATAGCCATTACGCTAACTGCTGGTTCCCTGGCGTAAGCAATTCCTGAGGGCTAACTGATAATACCTGATTAGCTAGTACAGGTCTACGATGGGGGATGAGATTTTAGTTGGATTTGAAAAGTTGTGGATTTGGTATCAAACTGAGAAGTCACATTTATCTAATGACATTTCTATACAAAATAATTTAAACTTTCCACTTTTATATCCATTTGATGCAATAAAAAAGGGCCCCTTTAGTTAAGTACAAAATATACTTCATTTATGGTGCAGTCACTGGATGGAAAGTTTCCTGACAGACCCTGGCTTCACAGTTTCAGTGTACATGAAATACACATTTCGATTGACTCATGCCTGAAATCTTCAGTCCACCCCAGTGGCCTGAAGCCCTTGAAATGGTAGTGCTTTGGCTCTATTGCCACAGTGTGTGTCCTCCGCTGATGGAGGAGCTGATCTGCAGATAAACACACTCAGGAGAAAGCCACGGGTGACTTCTGCCAGCATCGGAACGTCCCCCATACTCCTGGAAAATTAAAGACGCTTTTAGCAGCACGGTTCTGATATGCTGGCAGAGCGAGGATTGGCTCATTCTCTTACAAATACAGTTTAGCTGGATGCACTCATAAATGAAAAATGATCTGAGTGCCATGGGTGGGTGGGGACCTGAGCTCAGGAGGTGAGGCTGGGAGGAGAGTCAGAGAGAGAAAATCTGCTCCGAAGCTCCGTGGAGCGTGGGGAGCTGGCAGGAAGTTGGAGCGCGCACTGGCATGGCTCCCATTGTTGATAGTTAATAACACAGGACTTGAAAGAACTGAATGGAGAAGGGAAACAGACTGGAGTCCGTCCTATTCAAGCGGCGGTTGGAGCATAGCAAAGAACACTCACCTGATCAGCTCACGGAGCAGGTAGGAGAGACTGAAGGGTGAAGAGAATCATGTTTCCTTTGAACACAACTTATTTGTCTTCCAAGGGTTTTTTTTTTTTTTTTAAAGAAAAAATATACAAGAAATGAACAGATAACATTGACATGGGAGACAGCCTTAGCCTGAATAGTGCTGATATTTTTGCAAGCAAAAGTGTTTCTCATTACTATTTTGACCAAATGACAGTTTTATTCTGAGGGTTGCTTTAAAAAAACAATCACACAAAATCATGCAGCATTTAAGTTAAAACCAATTTTAAAATTGGCAGATGATACTTCAGAGATCATCAACCAGATTCCAATTTCTAGGCTTGACCGTTGCTATATTTTCATAGTTCAGAGCCAATGAGGTGCTTGCTAATTTCTCCTGGCTTTTGTAAGAGAGGCAGTGGATGTCTAACAGCTGTGAAATATCCAGAAATTGCCTGGGCTCCAAGGTGAAGCCCAAACACACTAATGTTTTCTCCATTAAGGCAGACTACCTCTGCTCAGCTTCTAAGTCAGAGAATTGGAAAGTAGTGTGAAACTAAAGTGTGAATTCTATCTGTCCTGAGGGGAAGAGGTGCAGGGGGTGGAAATTGTCACAGTGATGTCTTTGCACTCAAAAATAGAGAATAACGTGCCTTGCAGACACGCAAGGTTGGTTGAAGGCTGATTCGTGGTTCCTGTGATTGTAGCTGAGTTCCAGAGCATTCCTTCTGCTCTCAAGGCTTGGGGTTTATGCTAAGAGAAACGTAAGAGAATAAAGACCATCTCGATCGAGCCTGGGGTTCTGAATCATTTCCAGGCCTTGCTTCTCATAGGCTCAGGGATCATCTGACATGGTTTCCCCCCAGTGAAGTGGTCGGAGTATGGTGGAATTGAACTGACATTGAGCGGGTGCATGTGGGCTGCAGGAGAGGAACGTCAGAGGTCGGGAGGGAACTTTGCTTCAGTAGGACTTGCCAGCCTGAATACTGGAGCGCTTTGATGTGTGCTTTGGAGAGTGCTCTGTTAGCCACAGGGGTTGTCTGAGAAGGCAGATTGGGAGCTGCTTTGGTTACTGCGTGCTGGCTGGCAGCTGTCCTCATGCTGTGGTGGCCAAGTTCTGTGGCTTTGCATTTATGGCCTAGAGGGCTGAAGGATGGCTTTGTTTATCAGGGCAAGCCCATCTCTTCTTGCTAGTCTTTCTCTTATGAGTTCCCAGCCCTCCACAGCTAGACTAACATGGAGAAGAGAAACAGTATCACCTTGACCCTTTTAGGATACTTTTTCACCCCCAACTCCCTCTCATAGCCACCAAGACTTTCATGTTGGTTTATTTCCTTCCTGAGCAAGAGGGACGGAGAGGAACAGAGACAGACAGTACCCCCAACCAAGTCTTGATGCCACGATCGCATCCCAGCCTTCACCAGCCCTGGATCATGGGCCATGTGCATATCTGATATGCTTAGGGAGGTCTCCAGATGTGAACCTGGAACCTTCCATGTAGATCAGCCTCACAAAGCATCACATTTTATCACTGTACTGTCTAGGTTCCCTAGCCATGACTCTTGCTTTTTCTCACCTATCGTACCTGTTAGGTAGGTCTCCCTTTGTCTCGCATTTTTCAGACTGATCTGTCCCAGGTGTTGTCTTCGGTGAATTAGCTGGGTTGGGGGATAGGATCCTTTTCAATGTCTGTTCAGAAACTAGTCAGGTTGGGACCAGCAGTTAGCATAATGGCTATGTCTCTGAACTCTCACGTAGTCAACCGTGGTTCGAGTCCCGGACCCGGTGGCTTAAACTCACGCCGGGCGCATTTGCGTACATAGCCAAGATCCCAAGAGGATAATGCAGGAGAAGGGATTGTGGCATGGCCATCCCCTGGGGGATGATTTCTTGCTTTCTATCTGTCTCTCTCTGTCTTTCTGATGAACACACATGCCCTATAGCAAAAACTCTAAAAAAAAAAAAAAAATTAAATAAAAAAAGGAAAAGAAACTAGTCAGGGTTAGTAAAATATGACCCATCGGCTAAATCCAGCTTGCCCTGGCAGGATTTCTGTATGGTTTGGGTTCTGACAATGTGTTTAATGTTCTAAAGGGTTGAAGAAATGACGAATATAGGGCCGAGTCATACATGGCCTGCAAAGCCTCAAATATTTCTTATCTGACCTTTTAGAAAAAACTTTTACTGGTCAACTCCTTGATTATTAATATAATTTAGAACACGCAGATCAATGGGTAGTACAGCTCATTAAATTTCAATGGACTGTCGTTTGGGAAACTGATTTTAGTTTCTCGGTCCTTATTAAATTGCACTATTGCTTCTAAAAGGGTAGATTCAGGAATCAGGAAGTTGAAGATTTTCTGTAGGGTCCCAGTAGTGGTAAAGAAATATGCAATGAACTGTGTGCTTGTGTTTGGATTTTCACTGTCTCCTCTGGTGTGTGAACCTATTGGTGAAGATGCCTATGACAGTAGCCTTACATTGATGATGTGCCCCACTGAAAGAACCCAATGAGGACTGAATCTTACACAAAATCATCCAGTTCCTTCTTTTTCTTCTTTTGCAAACTGAATGCTAGCCGGATATCCACAATCTGGGATTGTTTAGTGTCACCACTTCGGGGGAAAAAAAAAAAAAAGATTTGTGTAGTTTAAAAAGTAAGACAGAAAGTTAACTGGGTATCATCTTTTCTCACATTTAGAACAATGTTTCTTTAATACTAAAAAAATTTACCATAGGTCCTACACCCTTACCTCTGAACATGCAGTTCGCCTCTACCCAGCACAATATTTCATTGTTAATGCCATTTCTAATAAGTGAAGAGGAAAATCTGGTGACCTTGTTCATGTTTAACTTATGTCCACACTGTAGGCTAGACATTGAGCTGACTTTTATAAGTAACTTACTCTTCAGAGCAGAAATACAGAACACAGTAGTTTGAAAAGGAAAATAAAATGACTGGTATTCATTTATTTTTCTCCAAGACATTCTAATCATCTGTCCTCCTGTGTTTGGAAAGTGGATGCTATCTGGAGAAAAATGGGATGGAGTCTAATTTGACAGATGAAAGCAAGTGAGGAAGGATGGAAGTATGAATAGCATGGCACCCTATGGGAGGGAGAGTCTGCAAAACAAGATGGCGTCTATACACTCCATGAGGCAGGTCATCAGAGCTCAGAGGGGTGGGGCTTTTAATCTACCATGGGAGCCAAGCAGCACCTTGGTCCGTATTTAGAAAAGGGGTTGGCTCTGAATTTAGAGATTAAGCAACCTGCCATTCCTGTATGCACTGGAATTTCAGACACAGTCAGAAACCTGATTTGCGTAACTGCTGAAACTCAACTGGAAACCAATCAGACTGAGGCCTGGACTCCCCAGGCAAGAGGCAGTTAGAAATCAAGGCACGTGAGAGAATCCATCAAACTTGCCCAAGAGGGAGTGGCACTATGTGGCCTGACTCAATGGGGTGGGATCTGGGGTGAAGGGTCAACTTTGGGTTCCCAGAAGGCTATAGTTGAAGGGTGAGTAACCTCTGCATGAGTTGGCAGTGTGTTTGCAGAGCTCTGGGACTACCTGGTATCTCAAAGTAGCATCAGGGACCTTTTCATTTTTCAGCCTGAACCACACTAGCTCATAAAAGGATAAGAAAGGCCAGGCAAAATCTACTCACTGAAGTGGATGACATGCCATGAGCATCCTTGAATGAACTAGTTCATTCATGCAGTGTTGGTTGAGCTACGTGTTCTGCTCAAAGCTAGAACTTCCAGCTTGCTGGCACAATAGTAGTGAGCTGCTCAAGTGATGCTGGATCCATGGAGTATCACGGGTTCAGTCGCCTGGTCAACGTGCACATGCCAGGTACACACAACCTTGATCTCTACTGGCTAGGAAGGCTTGCAGGGGAGGGGATCACAGCATGAGTGCCTCTCTCTGTCTCATGAAAGAAATAGATTAAAGACCAAAGATTAAAAACTGGATGGGACCAGCAGTTAGTGTAATGGCTATGTCACTGAACTCCCATGTAGTAGACTGCGGCTCGCATCTCAGACCCGGTAGCTTAAACTCACTCCAGGTGCATGTGCATGCATGCCCGAGATCCCGAGAATGGAGGAGAAGGGATTGTGGCATGGCCATCCCCCCTGGGGGGTGATTTCTCACTTTCTGTCTATCTCTCTCTCTGTCTCTGGCAAGTGCACGCACCCTGTAGTGAAAAACCTCTCCAAAAAAAGAAAAAAACTGGAGCAACTCTCCCTTCCTTTGCTTATCTGAACAAACTGGAATCTGACTTCCATTAATCCACTTTTTCTTAAAGATGAATGGGGAAAAGATTGAGCTAGGTGTATGCATATATGTGCAAAAGTGTGTAAACCAAGAGGATAAAAACAGGCAGGCAAAATTGGAGTTAAGAGCCTGAGTTAAAGAAGATTTACCACCATGTCTCTAAAAAAAGAATCAGTCTTTTTTTAAAAAAGAATTATTTATTTCTATTTAATTCCATTTGTTATTATTTTTTAATTTGACCAGACAGAGCTTCAGAGAGAGAGAAAGAGAAAGCAAGAAAGCAAGCTGCCAGGTCCAGGACTTGAACCATAGTTGGCCATGTGGGAATCCAATGCCTTTAACCACCATGTCACCTCTCGGCCCCAAAAGGAGTCAGTCATTTCAAGGCCTAATGGTGGGCAGAGGATCCCTTTGTGTGGCTTTGTGTTTACATACAAGGTGTGTCCCTCTTAACTTTTATAGGCAATACACTCTCTCACTTCCAAACTTCTATACATTTCCTGCAGTGGAGGCCATAGGTGTAGCACCCATCTCTCACACGGTGATCCCAGCTGGAGCTCTGCCTTCTGCTCAGTGGCCAGGGTACACGATGGCAGAATTCTCCCTCCATTGACATGATATCTACTCCACGGAGAACAGAGGGAGGAGGCAGAGTGTGCTCCACTGTGAGATCTGTTGGCTCTGCTGTCCCCTGCTGGCACAACTGCCACAGTTGCCTTGGTTTGTTAAACCCAGGTGTGTGCAGGCACACAGCCACACCATGACTCCACAAATGGCCCAAGCGTGAGCTCCCCATCTCCGCTTGGATGCAAGGTTACTGCAGGGTGAAGCAGGCCATGCCAGCCCTTGACCTAGGACCCTAAATCTACCTTCCTTTACATGATCCCTTCCCCAAGAGTCAATCCAACAGTATCTCAAATGTAAGAGAAAAACTCAGCACTTGTAAAGATCAAAAATGACTCTCTTGGTAGAAGAGAAAGTTCATCCCACAGTGTGCATTTTAGTAATTTCAAAATTTGGAGGCTATCAGGTGGGCTTAAAGCAAGATACACTTGGACCATCTCTTTGCCTTTCTAATTTCACCACTGATTTTCTTCCCAAATTAGAAGATCAAGTTAGAAGTTGGCAGAGCTGTGCTTGCTTCAGCAACACATAGACTGAAAGTTGGAACTTTTAGTATGCAGAGAAGATTAACATGGCCCTTGCACAGGATGACATGCAAATTCGTGGAACATTCCATATTTTTAGACAAATACTGTATGTCCCCACTTAACATATACTGCATGTCTGCACTCTGTGTCGGAACTGAAGCACTTACCAGCATAGAATTAGAGGAACAGTGGACACCAGAAGTTGTTTGGGGGAAATAGATCGGGGGTTGTGAGAGAAATTTTAATAGACACAAGAATGCATGTAAATACAGGCAAGAGGGTATAGATGGGTGTATCTGCAGAGTAAAAACTATGCACTATGTTATGGAGTATTCAATGCTGAAGAAGATGAATATGTGTAGATCCCAGATTTAATGATTATACACTATATGCATGCTTTTAAAAAACCAAGCTGTACCCTACCAAATATATGTAAACCAGAAATCAAACTTTAATTTTTTTTTTAATTTAAAAAAGGAAAATAAATTGACAAAGTAAGAGAATTCCCTGGTAGAGTAGGCAAATCTGTGGAGGTCATGGAATGTCCCTTGAGAATTAAATTGGCAGAAAGCCTCTATTTTAGGGCCACCAGATAGTGTAGCAGTTATGTTGTTAGACTCCTGCCTCTATTTTAGGGCCACCAGATAGTGTAGCGGTTTTGTTGTTAAGACTCCCGCACAGCCAACATGGTTCAAGTCCTGGACCCACTGGCTTGAAAATTATTCCAAGCGTGTGTGCATGCATGCCCAAGATCCCAGGAGGAGACATGAGAAGAAGGGATTGTGGCATGGTCATCACCCCCTGAGCGGTGATCTTTTTAGTTTCCCTCTCACTATCTTTGTCTTTCTGTAGAGCACACATGCCCTGAGGCAAAAACCTCTTATTTAAAAAAAAAAAAAGTCTTGGGGCCAGCAGATGGCATAATGGTTATGTAGCTGGACTATGTATTCAACTGTGATTCCAGTCCCAGACCTGGTGGCTTAAAACACACACCAGGCATGTGTGCATGCATGCCCAAAATCCGGAGAGGAGAATGGGGGAGAAGGGATTGTGGCATGGCCATCCCCCTGAGGGGTGATTTCTCACTTTCTGTCTCTCTGTTTCTCTCTGGTGAGCACACAGGCCCTATAGTAAAAATCTTTCAAAAAATATAAGCCTCTATGTAAGTGAGGTTCCTCATCTGATTATGGGATAGAACACTGTCACAGATTCCTCACTTTAAAGGGTAGATGATCTTCTGTTTATATTTTCCCAAGGCTTATCACTTTAACAGATATGTATACAGTCTTATAAACTTGCCTTCCCGCCCCTATCCTTATAATAAAGTAGTCCTGCAGTGAAGAATTTAGAACGCTTAAGCAAACAGGACTTGAACGAACGGAAGCCTCCCAAGCCACGGGTGAGTTAGGGGAAATTCAGAGGGAACATGCTTGACCTTCGTTAGGAAGGCACGAAACCCAGAATTCATCATGAGTCTCTTAATGAGAAGCCACCCTTTCCTCTTGCCTTTTGCTCCCATTTCTGCCCCTTTGGCAAAAGTGAAAAAAAAACCTGCTGACTGGCACCATCAGCAAAGGAAGGGGCTGCCTTCCAAGGAACCCCACCTTTGACTTGCCAGATTACACCTTTGCCTTCAGCTTGCGACACTCCTGAAGTTCTCAGACGGCAGCTTGTGGGATAGAGTTGACTGCTGGCAGCAGACGGCTGGCTTTGGAAAACATCATAGGTATTTTATTGTAACAGATGCAAGACAGTTTTGGCAGGAGAGCAGTCAAGACCTGGAGGGGAAACAGAAAACTCCCTCTGAGCACTACGGGAAAGAGAGTGGCAGAAATAAAGGATGCAGTTTGGGTTTGTAAACCTAAATCCTTTGCACAATCCATTTTACAGGCTAGAACTTGCTTGGCTTCAGTTTATCCCTTAAGTGACTCAAAGAATGTTTTTAAAAAAATAAAGCTGAGAAATGTACTCGGGGACATCTTGGTGCGTGGGAATTTCATTAGGGTCCCAGTTGCCCAACCAAACTTAGAGTGATGGAAGTCCTGCTGTTTTCATAAGGCTGAGGTATTAGACACTCTTAGGCCTATGACTAATCTGACATTCCTAATGAGTGTGTTAGAGTAACAAAGTTTAACATCTCATCTGATGGATGAGATGGGACCAGCAGATGGCGTAATGGTTACATCACTGGACTCCCACGCAGTCGACTGCAGTTTGAATCTTAGACCTGGTGGTTTAAAAAACTCATGCCAAGTATGTGTGCATGAGTGCCCAATATCCCGAGAGGAGAATGAGGAGAAGGGATTGTGGCATGGTCATCCCCTTTGGGGGAAGGAGTGATTTCTCACTTTCTGTCTCTCTGTTTCTATGGTAAACACCCTATAGCAATAATCTCTCTTAAAAAAAAAAATAGTGGAGGCAGTTATTTTAATAGGAAATACCTTCTTCATCTCTATAGTCATCCAGTGGCTTAACTAAGTCTATTCATTGCCATTAAGATTTTAGAATGGGGAGGGATTCTGCCAACAGTTTTGTTCTGTTTCTGTAGGTTCTTCATCACTTCCAACAGCAAACTATAGGTGACTCCAAAATCTGCAAATAGTTACCTTTCTAGACCAACTGACAGTGCTGATTTTAAAAAAAATAATTTAAAAAAACAGGGCCTCATTATATTGCTGAGGCTGACCTCGAACTCATAATCCTCCTGAGCAGATGGTACTACAGGAACAGGCCGCTGAACTGACTGGCGTTTACTCTGATATCATTTACTACAGTTGGTTCTTTTGATGTACCGGCTGACTCTCAAGTCTGAGAGATTTCCTCTGTTTCTACCTACTTTCTTTCTAGGACCATTTTGTAGATTAATCAGCCCCTGAACCAGGATAAGTAGTGAACTAGATAATGCAAGTAATTAATCACCGGATGTTTTCATGCAAGATTTAGAAATTTAATTTTCAGGTGAACAAACCTAGATAAAGAAAAGCTTAGTGTAAGTGACTATTATCCATGTGTATTTTTGCATGTATATGTGTGTGTGTGTGTGTGTGTGTGTGTGTGATTTGCATGTATATGTGTGTGTGTGTATGAGAGGGAGAGAGAAAGGAGAGAGAGGGCTGCTAGCTGAAGTTATTCCATGGCACCTATATGGACCTGGAGACATGGCTATTTTTGAGCAAAACTTTTTGTGTAAGATTGTGTCTCAATTTCTCTTCAGTAAGCACGTGGTCTAGACACCCTCACCTGATTCGGTTTTGTGAGAGAAATGCCTCCCCCTGTAGTAACGACTTTTCTGCGAGTTCAAACCAAGTGTCAGATGAACTCCCCAAGGTGACTGTGTCCAGTTCCATCTCCCTTCCATGGCACTTGGTTAGCAGGAGGGGAAAGTAGCCTGCAGAGCGGTGTGGATGCCTTGCATGCACAATTTTGAAGTCCAGAGACAGATCAACTTTGGCTTTTCCTGAAATGTATCTTATTTGGAGAACAACAGTTGACATGGCTATGGGAAGTTTTGCTTCTTGGCAAAAAAACCACCCTGAAAAGGTGCTTATGATTCAGCAGAAAGGGAACCCTGCCCCAGGCTCTCTGGCAGAGCAGAGAGAACAGCTCAGAACTCTGTGTTAGTAATTAGTATTCAGTTCTCCTTTGTGGGGAAGACCTATGTGGTCATAGGAGGCAGCTTACTATGAAGAGACTTAGATTTCCTGTGTAATGGTATTCAGTGTGTGTGTGTGTGTGTGTGTGTGTGTGTGTATGTGTGTATTCTCCCCCATATGGCATGTATATTTCGGAAGGATTTAGAATCCAACCTAAAGAGTCTGACCTAAAGTACTTACTGGGGCCAGGCAGTGACTCGGTGCTAATGCTGCTGCACCCACAGCATAAAGTCCTGGGTTCACATCTAGGGGGCTCCTGTGTATACCGGGTGTGTGCACATGCCTGGGCTGGCTGAGATGGGCTGGATAGTGGCATGAGGGCCCTGTTGAGGGTGCCCCCTCATCTTTCTCTCATTCTTTGTCTTTCTCTCTTTCATGGAAGAAATAAGTAAATAAGCTTGAGGGGGGAAGAGCAAAGTAAGTATTTAATACAGTGCCTAGCCCTGTGCAGAAGCCAGCTGACAGAAGCCAGCGAGGCAGATGCAATAGCTATCAGAGGAGGAAGTGATTTGACTGGCTTGTGCTCAAGCTAAGATTAGATGGAGACATATATGGGGCACAGCATTCTCTTTATTCCTTCTGCTTATGATTTTTTACACATCTTTTCCTCTTAACCTAGATTCTATTAATAGACTTCAGGACGACTGTGAACCTGAAAGGGGAGAAAACGAAATGTTTATTGTCATGAAATTATATATAGCTCAGATTCAGCATTTCCTTCAATAGTGGAAGTAGGCAGGAAATTCAGTAGAGTACTAGCAGTGCCCGTGTCGTTGTCAGCCACAGTAGTGATACATATTATTTGAAGCAGATGTCTTCCCATGTCTACACTCACTACTACTGTGAAACTGTGTCAGCTGATAAACTCCTTTCTAGACCTTCAAATTGAACGAGTTAATAAAGACGCACACCAAGGTCCTGAAATACATTTTTAAATATTTATTATATATCTCAGCATAATGGGTTTTCTTTGCAATTCCATGCATTTTGTACATTTTAAAATATTAGTTTAGGACTTACCCAGAATGGGTTTTTTTTGCAATTCTATGCATTTTGTACATTTTAAAATATTAATTTAGGACTTACCCAAACAGCCAGAGAAATCTTTTGTACAAAAGAGTGAAAGAAAGAAAAAGAAACTCTGCTTGAAAGCTACCATTTGGCACGTCCCTAGATCTTCAATTACCTGGAGAAAAATATTAACCCAGGACAGGATCCTGTGTTCTTGTCTATAAAGCACCTGGGGATCTTGATAAAATGCAATTTCTTATGCAGTAGATCTGGGGTAGGGCTGAGATTTCTGCTTTTGTAACAAATTCAGGGTAGTCAGGCCACAGCCTACAGCAATCCAAATAAAGACTTGTTTTGCTTTTTTTTTTTTTTTTGGTCCAAATTCACTTTTCAAAATTTTAGCAAGTCTTAGTGGTAGGTATTCTTCAACA